CTATTTATGTCTATTATGTTTTGTATAATATTGAATTTTATAATATGTTTTTATGTGCTGTTTTTTTTTTTATCTAAATTGACATGATTAAATTTTTTTATTCTAAAAATATCATTAAGTTATACTAGAATATAATTTTAATGTTAAAAACTTTAAATGTTTACTCGTTTAAAATTTTAATGGTTTAGTAATTCTAAAATTTCTTTTTTATAAAGTTTTATGCAATTTAGAGAAATTTTTTTTATTATTTCCTTATATAGTCGAAGGACAATGAAAAATATAATTTTATCAATTTGGATGGAAAAACTTGATCGAAGGACATAATGGAAAATTGAATATTGGGTCAAAGGTTCAAGATGTCCTTCTACCGTTTTATATGTCTTAATTGTGTCCCTCTATTAAATGTTTCAATAATTATGTCCCTATACTCTTAATTTATAATTGAATTTGATCATTCCGTTCAATTTTTCAAGCAACGAAGATAATTTTTAGCTTAAGACTAACATGATGTCGACATGTGATATTAATTTTTTTCCCCTCAATTTCGAATACCAATAAAGAAATAAATGAAATGCAAAATTAAAACCCCAAATAACCCTTAGTTTAAAAAACCCTTATATCCCAAAATGTTCCATCTCTACTTATGGTGGCGTGCAGCGCTTCTTATGGTGGAGGAGGTGTATCCATCCTTGCTTGTAGTAATTGGAGGGGAACAAAAGTAGTTCTTGAATAGATAGGTTTTTAAGAGTTTTTGAACTAACAGAGAGTTTTTGTTTTACAATACTATATGGGAACATGGATAATGTAACATCTCCTATTGTATTATGTCAACCAAACTTGTATTTCACTATCTCTCATCAAGTTCATTAGGTTTTTGCACATTTGATGAGTGGTCCCTAATCTCGTTTCCTATTTTTTCCCCGAATTGATAGGGACTCCTCATGAGCGTTTTATAAGGTGAGTCTAGGATGATGTGTTTTGGGCACGAAACAATGCTCGTGTCCTTCGAACGGTTGGATTTGAATATAAAAATAGATCCAATGTTCTAAAGGGGGAAAGATATTATGCTTGCATGCAAAATACAAGCATTGTAGTAACCCCCTCATTATATATATTAACTTACCGAAATTTCAAGAATTTTGTGCTAAGGAGCGAGCATCTTGAAAAGGCTTTGATCTATTACAAGTACAAATGATTAACATGAAAGCTTAGGCATGAGAGAAGGGGATTCTTGAATGATTTTGGGATTTTCTTGATAAATCATCAACAATTCTTTAACAGATTTTAGGCATTAGAAAGTTAGGTTAGATTTGAGGATTTAGGAAAAATTCGTTCTTGGTGGAACATTTGTGATATAAGGATTTTTTAAGTGGGGGCAATTTGGGATTTTTATTTTTCTATTTCATTAAAAATTTAAATGTATTCGAATTTGAGAGGAAAAAAATTAATACCACGTGTCAATATCATGTTAGTCTTAAGTTGAGAAATTGTCTCTATTACCCGAAAATTATACTAATGCTCGTGTTTTGGGCACGGAAACAATGCCAATGTCCTTCCGAACTACTCGATTTGAATACAAAAATAGATCCAATGTTCCGTAAGGGAAAGATATTATGCTTGCATGCAAAATACAAGCATTGTAGCTACCCCCTCATTATATATATTAACTTACCGAAAATTTCAAGAATTCTGTGCTAAGGAGCGAGCATCTTGAAAAGGCTTTGATCTATTACGAGTACAAATGATTGACATGAAAGCTTAGGCATGAGAGAAGGGGATTCTTGAATGATTTTGGGATTTTGGATCTGTTTCTTTTATAAATCATCGACAATTCTTTAATAGATTTTAGGCATTAGAAAGTTAGGTTAGATTTGAGGATTTAGGACAAATTCGTTCTTGGTGGAACATTTGTGATATAAGGATTTTTTAAGTGGGGGCAATTTGGAATTTTTATTTTTCTATTTCATTAAAAACTTTAAATGTATTCAAATTTGAGAGGAAAAAAATTAATACCACATGTCAATATCATGTTAGTCTTAAGTTGGAAATTGTCTCTGTTACCTTAAAAATTATACTAATTGACTAAATTCAGACACGAATTAAGAGTAGAGGACAAAATTATTGAAAAAATTTAATAAAAAGACAAAATTAAGACATATAAAACAGTAAAGAGACATTTGGAAATTTTAACCCATTGAATATTGTACAAAGACATGATAGATACTACAAGAAATATAAAAACATATTAGAATTTTTTTTTCCCATTCAATAGCGTTCCGAAAATAAAATTTGGTTACGAGAGTTTTGTTAAAAAAAAAAAATAGTCACAAATACTGATCGGATAAAACATTATACATAAACACAAATTAAAATTACATTTTCCGATAATTTATTATTATTATTATTATTCTGACGTACTCTACTATATTGCACATGGACTCCTCATTTCTAAAATTCTAATTCTGCTGTTGCAGATTAGGTGTACTATGGTGCTTCTTTTGCAGCCGTTTCTTTGGTAAGTACCTAGTTTCTTGTTTGCCATCGGTTGCTTCTTGCCCTTCGCCTTTTCAATTATTCTAATCTTTAACTTATCAAAAAAAAAATTATGGTAGCAATATATAATGCACAACTAATTATTAATCATTTCATAAACAAGCAACTAACGCTTATAAATAATAATAATAATAATAATCATAATAAATCCAGCTGATGGAGAAATTCCAAATCTGAAGATATTTTTTTATGTAAATAGTTAAACCTAATTAGAAATAAAATGGGAGAAATACTTTACTAATTTATAAAAAGTAAACAATATGGTTACATGAGGTCACGTGAGTCGTTGGCAGCAACTTAATTGATATGGAAGAATGGAGAGGGCAAAAGATTCCTAACCCTCAACTACAAAATTCACAGTTAATGCAATTAATTAAGGATTCTGGTTATGATTGCTTTCAACTAAACTGTTTCTTATTGAAAAAGAGAGAATTTTTGGTTGATGTCAATATCTACCCGTTAGAAACTTTTGCAAGAAGAAGAAGAAGAAGAAGAAGGCGGTTCCTTAAGTTGCTGATAGAAACTTCAACAGCAGGAAAACCTGGAAAAGGAATATATTTCTGTTTAATTATTCTCTGAGTTATAAATAAGCAAGGCCTCATGGGAATAAATTAAGCCCCCATTTCAGTTATAGCTTGTCTGGATTGATCTACTCAAACCAATAATGGCTTCCCTTCTAGCCTCAACTGCTAAACCCGCATAGCCTTCTTTTTCATAGTACTATTTGTGACGGATTAGTCGTACCCGCCTTTACCAGTTCCAATTCTTCGAATACATTTTAATTCTCCAGTTCCCTCATTATCTGTTATATTTAAATAAATTTGAGATTGGATCGTATTATTTTTTGAATATGCTATTTCATTAATGGAAAGGAGCGGAAAAAAAAACATATGAATTTTTCCTAACAAAGGCCTTTTTTTTAATTCTATATTCCTATGTCAAAAATAATAAATTGAATTTGTATTGAAATTTTGGACGCTGTTATTGAAATAGTCTTTCTGGCTATATTTTTTGCTGCCCCTTCCATTTCATAAATACGTTTAATTGGATGTTGATAATAATAATAAAATCGAAAATGCATGGTCGATGAAATATCACCTATTCAAGTCAGCAAGAAGTTCAAACGAACATCAACGTTTTATTATGGGATCAAATTTGACAGATTTCATAGGAAACTACGTACATTGGATATTGATTAGAGTAGTATTTATTGCTTAATTTTTAGTTAATTAAAGATTAACATTGATATGATTGGAGCTAACTCCTTAAGTTGGTTTGCGAGATAATTCAAATAATTACTCGCTTCGTCTTATAAAAATAATAAGAACAAAAAATATTAATCGATTTGTATAATTAAAGCTCGGTGAATCCATCATAAAATTAATGATTTTGGAATGCACTAAGTTTTATGTTCATACAATAATTTCTTCATAATGTTACCGTTCAATGTATTTTATTTTATTTACAATTTATTTTTCAAATATAATAATATAATTTATTGCATTGGATTTATTTATTTATTTTGAGAATTGGCGTGATGAATGGTGAAATGGAACTAGGCTTTGCATTAAAGCACCTCTAGGCCAGATTTTTAAAGAAAATTAAACAAATTGACTCATAAAATTGATATTTTTTTTTTAATAATGGACGCCCGAAAATATCATATTTTTTCATTAGTTTTTTCTAGCTTTAACTCATTTTGAAATTCATGCATCCAACTAGATTATTTATTTATTTATTTATTTTAACAGAGCAATTAGTGGTTCCACCTCCACAGATATATATATATATATATATATATATATAAGTAAAACCTATGATGTGTTTTTTTTTCTACCCTAACCTTCTTTAATCGTTGACTTTGGAAGAGCTAGCTACAAGGGTCCGTTTGATGTCAGCTCATCTCTCTTTAATTTATTTATTGAATCTCCATATTAGGTAAGAAATTATGTTAGTTATGTGCACTACTGCAAGCCATTGAAATCTGGTGCTGTATGCTGGTTCAAAAATGGATTGAACTTAGCCAAATCAAAGAGAATTAAGCTGGGCTTTAATGAGGCATGTGGCCGGCGTCCAAAAACTAAAAAGTAGGCTAATTGAATGTCTTGTTGGTGTTGGTATCGACTGCCAACTACTCAGACCCCTACTCACAACTGCCCTAATTTATACGTCAAAATTTTGTCTTACAGCCCTTAACCCCTTCCCTAAATTTTATTTTTTTCTTTTTCAGCCAAAATAAAAAATAAAAAATGAAACTTCTAGGCTAGACTAGTCTCTCAACCACATAATATTTTCATGCTGCTTGCACAAACAATTAATTTCTTGTCCATGCAATCTTTCTCCTCTCTTCTTTTATATACCCTTCTCCTCTCTCTCTTCTTCACGCAACATAACTCACTCAAACCCAAAAAAAAACTCACAATAGAAACACACATTCTCTCTCCGTCATGGGAGCTCATCGCCATTTTGAGCCAGTAACAAAATGTAGCAGAGAGGGACGATCAAATCAGACTGTGGCTGCAGACCTAGATGGAACACTTCTTGTATCAAGAAGTGCTTTTCCTTACTTCTTGCTTCTTGCTATTGAAGCTGGGAGTCTCTTTAGAGGACTAGTTCTTTTGGCATCAGTCCCATTTGTGTACTTTACGTACCTACTTGTGTCAGAGGCAATGGCAATCAAGACTTTCATCTTCATTGCCTTTGCAGGACTTAAAATAAGAGACATTGAGCTTGTTTCAAGGTCTGTCTTGCCCAAGTTTTATGCTGATGATGTTCATCCAGAAACTTGGAGGGTGTTCAATTCCTTTGGAAAAAGATACATTATTACAGCCAATCCTAGGATTATGGTCGAGCCATTTGTCAAGACCTTTTTAGGGGCCGACAAGGTTCTCGGCACGGAACTAGAGGCTACAAAATCTGGAACGGCAACTGGATTTGTCACGAAACCGGGCATTCTTGTTGGAGATCATAAAAGAGCTGCTCTCCTGAAGGAGTTTGGCACTAATTTGCCTGATTTAGGACTGGGAGACCGCCAAACTGACCATGACTTCATGTCCATTTGCAAGGTTAGATCTCAGTATTAGTTAAACTGTTAAATGATCATTTCATTCCTCGTTACTTGCCCCCTTCTTTCTTTTTTTAGGTAAATTAATTATTCAATCTCTTGGCTAAACTATAGAGTTATTGAAAATTTGTGTCAAATTGCATGTTTAAAAGTTTAACATCAAACTGTTCAATTTGGACCGGATGTTACACCTAGACGACCTAACTTGTTTAAAATATCGTTATATTCGGTTTAACTGATCATCCGGTTGACTGTTATTCAATTTTAAAGCATGATTTAAACACAAGTACACGCACAAATTTGGTACTCGATCAATGGAACTTTTTGTTTGCTATTCAATTTTAAGCACAATTGTGAGCTGTTTCTAGCTCAATATGGATAGCACAGTCCAACTGTCAATTTATCTTTTATATTTATTGTTGGTTTGGTGAGAATGTTTATGGCAGTACTTTTTGTGCATTAACTTTTCTCTCTATTTCTCTTCCTATCAGATTTTAGGAGCACTTTAATTCCAATAATTTTCTAATGGCACTGTACCATCAGTGCTGAGAGTACTTTCCTAACGGCTTCTATTCCTAGTTCTTAGTCTTATTGCTTTTCCTCCTTTCTATGTTTTTTTTTTTCTAAAACTGCTCATGTCTAATCAATTTCAAATACCTAACTTGGAAAGTACAAATAGCATTCATGGCATATAGTATTAGAGCAATATCTACCATTCATTCCCCATGCCCAAACTACTCTTCTATTCAAGTCAACTTGTAATCCATGCACTCCATGTAAGAACTATGATAGCTAAATTATAGCACTAGCTATTTTTTTCATCCTTGAATTCTGTTAGCAAGTTCTTCGTGATTCTATGGAGCACTTTTGCTCGGCAAAATTGGTTACACAGTGACCATAAATTGTTGATCTAGAGAGTCCTAATCATATATATATCAAAATATAATTGATTCGGTGCACGTAAACTTAATTCGTGTAATAATTTCTCGTCTTTGGGAAACCATTTTTGCTCGGCAAAATTGGTTATACATTAAACCATAAATTGTTGATATAGTGGATCCTAATCATATAAATGATTCGGTGCACGTAAAAATTGATTCGTGTAATAATTTCTTGCTGTTTGTGTGGAACCATTTGCTAACAAAAATTGAAGGGCATTGAATTTTTTTCACTTTTTTTTCTTTGAATTTATTGGCAATTGAAAACTAGTTATAATTGTGATAGTATGAACTTGTCGGATGGTGGTCCAGTGGGTGATGGAGTGCAATTTTAACTAACCATAAATTATGATCTTTTGCTGACATGAAATTTTTTTTTTGGGGGTTAAAACTGCAGGAAGGATATATGGTTCCAAGAACTAAGTGTGAGCCACTAGCAAGAAACAAGCTTCTAAGCCCTGTGATATTCCATGAGGGACGGTTTGTTCAAAGACCTACTCCTTTGGTTGCCCTTTTGACCTTCTTATGGATGCCAATTGGTATTATTCTCTCCATACTTAGGGTCTACCTTAACATCCCTCTGCCTGAAAGACTTGCCTGGTACAATTATAAGCTACTAGGAATTAGAGTTATCGTTAAGGGTACTCCTCCACCTCCTCCAAGAAAAGGCCAAAGTGGAGTCCTCTTTGTTTGCAATCATCGTACTGTCTTGGACCCAGTTGTCACTGCTGTTGCACTAGGAAGAAAGATTAGTTGTGTCACGTATAGCATAAGCAAGTTCACTGAAATTATTTCCCCCATTAAGGCTGTTGCTTTATCAAGGGAGAGAGACAGAGATGCTGCTAATATTAAGCGATTGCTTGAAGAAGGAGACTTGGTGATTTGCCCCGAAGGAACCACGTGTAGAGAGCCATTTCTCTTGAGATTTAGTGCTCTTTTTGCTGAACTTACTGATAGGATTGTGCCAGTTGCGATCAATACAAAACAATCTGTGTTTCATGGCACCACTGTCCGAGGACACAAATTGTTGGACCCTTATTTTGTGTTCATGAATCCAATGCCAACATATGAGATCACCTTCTTGAATCAGCTGCCCACAGAGCTTACTTGCAAAGGAGGCAAATCAGCCATTGAAGTTGCTAATTACATTCAAAGGGTGCTGGCTGGGACCCTTGGATTTGAGTGCACAAATTTGACTAGGAAGGACAAGTACGCTATACTTGCAGGAACAGATGGCCGTGTTCCATCTAAGAAGGAAAAGGCTTGAGAAAATTTCTCCAAAAGACAAAAAAGAAAATCCATCATTTAATTTCTCTATTTGATTTTTATATGTTTGAAACATTGTTATAACAATAAAAATTGATAATTATGATTGAGATTAATTAGTATAAAATTAGTAACTTTAATGTATATTTGCTTTTTTTAGTATATATACAATTATCAAATTACTGAAATGTAATATTGTTTATTCAGTGTTCAAATTTAATTCTATTTTCACCCTCAAACATATTTTCTTTATATATTTTCAGCCAAGTGGTTTTTTTGTTTATTTATTTATTTCATTTTATTTTTTAATTTCGATTGGCTGATATGTTTATTGCTCCTTCCCTACTGTCCTAATCATGTCAGAATATTTGAGATTGATTTTAGTGTTAATGTATCAATATGTGCTTATTCTACATTGATTTGGTTCGATATATATCCCTATACTAATATCTTGGTTTAATAATTTTTTATTAATTTTATGAGACAAATTGTCTTGTCTTTCGGTCAAATATAATTTTAATAAATGTCAGTACGAGACGCGTCACATTCTAATAAGATTAAACTATATATATATATAATTGATGAAAGCAAATTCAATCAACCATGATATAAAATTAGTAGAATCTTTCACATAAGAATCAATAAAGTCTGAAAATTTCATCAATTAAATTTGAATAAGACGGACTTGTTGATCAATAAAAAAAAAACACCACATTGAGTGTATAGTCAATTTTAAAAATACACCTGAACAAAAAAAATTTAAGCAAGCATAAACATAAGGCATTTGAATTAAAAAAAAAAAACAAACTTCTTAAGAATTTTATAATCCAATAAAAGTTATTTTTCTACATCGCATAAGATGTCTTAAATAATGCTAAAGATTTGCCCTAAACTAAAAAAAAATGTCCAATTAAAAGTACAAAAAAATTATTTTAATTATTAGGAAATGAATCAAACAAGAACAATAGAATAGAAAGACAAAAAAATCAAACAATACCAAGATTTTGGTGATTCAACACTTTTGCTTATTTCACAATTGTATTAAGATTTCTTATTAGGATTTTATCAAGTGGCAATCACAAATACAAGAGACGTCCTTATTTATAAAGTCGACAACTAAGATTACAATAAAAAGGTCTTACATCCCTATACAACTAGCTCAAGATTTTGTAAACCGTCATGCCGACTTTGCGTAACGCGTTAAACTATGGACAACATTAACATCGGTCTCTATTAACACATAATTTTTACCCTTATCTAATTTAATTAAATTTATGAGTTTAAAAGAAAATATAAAAAAAACAATAAAAAATGAGCTATTTGAAAAAAAAATGATTTTTTGGGTACAATTGAAAAAAAATTAAAAGAAAAGGTCTTGATTGATTTCAATTAAGGGGCGTAATTAAAATACAAGCAAAGAAATTATACCAAAATTGAAAATTAGGAGAAACCAAGGATCAAAAATAATGTTTTCCAAAACCCTAATGTTTTCCTATAAATACCCAACCTCTTTAGCCATTAAAGCTCGAACATAAAAATAAATAAATAAATAAATAAAACAACTTAAAAAAAAATCAAGCCAAACAATCCCTAAGGAAAGGACCGGACCGTCAACTCAAAGGGTTGATTGTCGAATTTCTTCTCTCAAATCGACCATCCTCGGGCTTTGCCTCCGGCCACCACCACTAATCGTTAGCTCTGTCTCTAGATCAACCAATCCCCACTCGGTTAAAGAAGAAGACAATGTTAAAGTTGGTTGAAATTTACGAGAGAAGGTCGATAGTCCGACTCGTTTAGCAACCTAGAAAAATCTCCTAATTCCAACCAAATCAAACTTCCACAATAACCTAGAATTTTTCCTCACTTGAATCCGACCAAAACCCCTCAAAAATCAAGCCAAAAAACATATGAAATCATCGATAGTGAAATGTGAGAAGTTTGATCGACTCGTTTTCTTCCCCTTGAGTTTGGCTATTTTCTAGCAAAATCGAGAGCCATCACTACTAGAGAAATGTCCTTCATCATCCCGGGAGAATTTTTGCTCGAAATCTCATGAAATCTCATCATAATTGATTGAATTAGAGGAGAGAAGATTTAACTTACCCATTTAGCTCGTTTACGTCGTCCCATTCCTACCTTCATTTTCCAAACAAATTACTCGATTAAAGGTCGAAGAAGCCTTCTAACTAGTCCTAGAGAATCTCTAACTAGATTTGAAGCCTAAACATCTTTATAGGAATCAAAGAGAAAAAAAATGGAGACTAAGCCAAAACTTTAACATCATTGATCTCCTTCCTCTATCAACGGTAACTCGTACCACCACCATAGACAAATAGAGAAAACCTCCCTCCACCGTACAAGCCCTTCCACACACTTGGATCTAGTTAGAGTAACGAGTCGATGATGGTTAGATAGTGGCAACATATGTAACACATGTGCTTAGGGGCTTTTTATAATTTTTATATGCAAAGGTATTTATGTTATTTCGGAACCGACTAGGGGTATTTCAGTCATTGCATAAAATCCTTTTCAACCCTCATAAATATTTGCTTCCTCCTTCTCAACTAACTAAAATAATCTATCTACATTGGGACTAAAGGAAATAAAACTTATTTGAGAGAGGGAATTATAGCATTCTCATGACATTTAGGTAACTTTTGAACTTATCTAGATCTGTTTAGAATGTTAAATGAGAATGATAAAAATATTCTGTTACGGATCATTAGGTTATCAAATGCTTTGTTTGATTCTATTTGAGATTTCGACCTATTATTTATTAGTTTGAGTTGAAGCTACCGATGGCTTTTCACTTATGCGATCAAAACTACTTATGGCTTTCAAATCAATTTATAAGCTTTTTTGTTCATTTAAAATGAATTTTTCAATGGCTTCCTATCTATATGATCAAGCCATAAGTGGTTTCAAAATCATTTTGCATGTTTTTTGCTCGTCTAAAAATGACATCGCCAATGGCTTCTCACCTAAGTGGAGAAGCTATCATTGGCTTCCAAGTCAATTTGTTTTTTTTTTCATTTAAAATAAAGCTACTAGTGGCTTCCCACGTATGTGACAAAGCCTTGAGTGGTTTCTAAGTTTTTTTACTTGCTTTCTATTTATTTGAAAAGATGTTGTTGGTGGCTTTCCATTTATGTGACAAAACTAACAGTGGCTTCCCACTTATGTGACAAAGTCATCGGTGGTTTTAATATTATTGTACTTACTTTCTATTTATCTAAAACGAAGTCATCGATGGCTTCTCACTTATGTGATGAAGTTAGTAGTGTCTTACAAACTCGTTATCCGTGTCTTGTTCAAACAAAATAAATTTCTCGATGACTTTCCACTTAAGTGACGAATTTATCGATAACTTCCTAAACGCATAATCTAAAGTCAATGGTAGCTTCCCACCTAAGTGAGTGAAGTTATTGGTGACTTCTTATTCATGCCAATAAAGGTTATCAATCTTTAAAAATTCACATGCTTATCGATATAGGTTTGTGTTCGTTAAAGATTAACTAAAATTATAATATTCCTCACTTTTCCTCTTCGAGTATGGGTATTGGTCCCGAACCAATCTAAACCTCGAATTACCATGCTATTCCATCTCAACAAAATAAATTCACTCAAACAAACATAGAAATATAACATAGTAAAACCAAATTTTTATTTTTTCTTGCAAACAATACAACTTTACCTTAGGTAAGATGTGATGGCGGTCATGTTATATTTCTTCACACGTAATCGATCTCTTTCAAATATATCTATACGTACTAGTATGTTTAGGATTTTTTTAGTTTTTTTATTAGCTATGTGGCAACTCCTATTCCTATGTTTTCCTCTCGGGCTTTCGTCAATAGAATTGGCGACTCCACTAAGGATATGTCATGCTAGGGCTAAGCTTTGCATATTTGAGTTAATGAATCTCCGATGATTTGGTATACTTTTATGCCTATATGTTTTTAGTGAATAATTATCTTTTAAATGTTTGTCTCGTTTATGTGTGTTTGTGAACATATATAAATTGCTTGCATTATCTTTATTTATAGCTTTTAGTCATTTATTTTTATTCTAAGACTAGATATGGAGTTATGCCCTCACACATAACACTATATTTATTACATGTTTTATAGACTTACCTTTGGATTTAGGAAGGAATTATTGGTGTCTCAACAACTTTTACCCCGATTAACACTTATGAAACCTCAACTTTTTTGGAAAGCCGCCATTATTGCGATAGGTAACCAATGGTCTCCATGATTACCACCTTTACCATTGGTTAGCCTTAATTCTTCCGAGCCAAAATGAACCATGTCTAAGACTTAGATAAATCCTATTCACTCATAGAATCGGACCTTAGGACCATCTTTTCCGTATAAATTCACCGGGCAAGTCGATATATTGAAACCTTAACCAAGAAATTTGGTCACGAATGTTTATGGATGGGTGATAAGGGGATTAAATTCCAAATTCAAGGAATATGTAGATATAAAAAAATTCCATGGCTTAATTAAAATATGTCAAAGGTTACTAATATAACACAACTCCATATTTAAACCAATTAACAATGTTAAAGTTTTCAAAGGTTACCGATAAAATTTAAATTCATCTTTAAATCAACATGAGTTAGTGCAAAAGAATAAAAAAATCAATGATCGAATCTTCTTATCACCCCTACGTGAAGCTCCTCCTATCTAGTTTCGAGTGTCTTTATTTATGTTAGAATATTAATTATGTTATTATTTTTTTTATTTTTTGCCATTTATTTAGAGAAGTATAAGTTATCCTATCAAAACCGTATTTTCTCCTCAAACATTGACAACTCAAGCCAAAGCAAAAATGAACAATGAAAAAAAAAGCTTAAATTGAGCAAAGCCATTAGAAAGATTTAAGTGCTTTAAAAGCAAAAGTGCTTAAGCTAGCTATTTTATTTAAGCAAAGTCTACAAACTCGCATATTTACCGATTTGCCTCATAATCGGAAATGGGTCAATCATCTACTATC